CAAACACCACTTTGATGTGTGTTCAGTGTGGGAGTTTTTCTCCTCGTCGGGTTATTTTTATTCTAATTTTTAAAATCTAGGCCAACTGTCATGGCTTTAGGGCATTTGATGGCTTATTGCACTCACCTTTTCCCTGTGTTGTGGGAGAGAAAGGCTGAGTCACGGTGCCATTTGATGTGGTCCATCATCGGCATCAGCATCAGCATCACCATCACCATATCACACGACCCTTTGCAAACATGACCTTATGTTGTCCTCATTTTACAGATAAAGAAACTGAGGCTCAGAGAGACTAAGTTAATCACAGTCACATAACAAATAAACAAGAGGTGGAGCTCCATCTGTTAACTCTGAAGCCTCCCTTATGGCCATCTTCAAAAACAGTGATCTGCAGATCACTGGGACCATGGCGTGGCTGACTTTGCTCCTGCCACAGTTCCCCTTTGATGGGGCCTCCCTGGAGACTGGTGGGGCTACTGAGGACACAGAGGACACAGAGAACACAGCCCCAGAGCTGGGTACACCAGGGTACCACTCAGGCAGGTGGCAAGAGGAAGCAATAGCCAAGACCCACAGAGGCAGAGTAGAAGCCCCGGGGGAAAATGCATGTGGTAGTGAAAGCAATCATTTGCACAACATAGTTTAGAGATCCAGCTAATACTGAAAGCAGGGTCAACTTGAACTCAGAGCTTCAAAGTAAGTAAAATGAAATGACAGTCACCACCGTTTATTGGTCACCTACCATGTGTGTTGGGCTCTTTCACATATATCTAATCAGCTCAGTAACTCTGTGAGGTAGGTGGGTTTAGCCCCATTTTACAGATGAGGAAATGGACATTCTGAAAAGCCTGTAAAATATTCAAAGTCCTACAATTGGAAAGTTGAGGTGAGACTCAAACCTACTTCAGTCTGAAGCAAGAGCCCAGACCAACCCAGGAGGGAATCCTCAGAGGTAAGGCTTACCAAAAGCAAAGAAGTAAAGCAATAATGGAAACACCGGGTCCAGCCAGGCTCTAAGAAGGCTCTGAGATAATCAGGAAAAGCTTTAGACCAGGTTTAAATGTATTCATCCACTCCTTCCATCATTCCTGAATTCAGCAGACTTTAGGTGAGCATACTCCTAGGTACAAAGATTATAAAGATTAATTAAATGGAGTCTCTGTTCACAATCTGGTGGAAAGATAGGCTGAATAATGATAATAAGAACAGCTAACATTTATTGGGCACTTTCTGTGCTTGTGACGTTGATGTAGACAAGGCCAGTGTTAACTTTCACGACCAATCAGCAGATGAGGCCAGTGAGGCTCTGAAAGTGTCAGTGATTCATCCAAAGTCATACAAACAGGAGAGCCTGAACTGGAATCCACCCGCTCTGGCTGAAAAGCATATGCATTTTGTACCAGGCACCGCTCGCTCCCAAACACAGCTCTAGTAAATGCATATTATAGTAAGTGGAAGATGAAAGATCAAATTGATACAAGAAAGAGTATATAGTGATTACTTGTGTTTGATTTTAAAAGAAGGTACAGGTATCTCTTGATTTACAGAAGATGGATTGCTAAAAAAAAAAGCTGGGCATGCCAAATTGGCATAAGTCTAGTCATGTTTGAAATGCCTGGCACACTCTGCATGTATTAATGCCTTTAATCTTCATAACCACCCATCAGAGGTGGGCACTATCATTATTTCTCATTTGCCGATACAGAACCATTCATATGGGGACCTGAAATCACTCACACAGAGTCACACAGCCAGCTGGTGGGGAGCCGGGACTCAACCCAGGCCATCTGGCTTCAAGCCCTGGCTCTTGCCATCACACTATTGCATTCTGAGATACTAGCTTATAATAAGAGCGAGCATCTTGTTTTAGAGCTTGCTGTGGCCCATGTCCTGTGCCAGTGCCTGATGTGTACAGCTCGTTTATCTCCACAGAAGTCTAAGAAGTAGGTGTCATTATCCCTGGTTTACAAATGGAAATGTGTGTTTTGAACTCAGTTTTCTGATTCTAATATACCATGTCCTTAACATCTACTGAACATTGACTTTTTTTAAGTGAGAAATATTGAAGAAAATGCTAAAATAGTAGAAATGTGCTAATTTTACCACTTTCACCCAGGTTTCACAGAAGGTAGTGAACTGTCCTAGATAGGGCTCTCTGTGAGGACCCAGATAGCATCTGCTTTCTATCCTAGCACCTGGCACATACTAGGCCCTTGACAAGTATTTGTGGAACAGGCAAACTAAAATGGATAAAAGCAGGTTGAGACTCGAACCCCGGGTGGCCTTGGGAGCTGGAGGACAGACACACCCTGAGCCTTTATGTTTATGACACAGGCATCATCACAGTGAACTGCTCAGATCCCTGCCCCAGAGGGAAGGCCCGGACCACACCAAGGCACTCGCCCCGGCCCCCACAGGTGGGTACTGACCCTCTTGTCTGGAGGAGGATAAGATATCAGAGATTCATGTGAAAACCAACGGGGGTCACAGCTGCAGAGGACTCAAGTCCAACGCTCTAGATAAGGAATTAGAGACCCACCTAGTTGGGGTGACACTTCTGAGGCTGAAAGGTCAGATTAGGCAGTCTGCCACCACCCCCTGTAAATTGTGTGAATTTGGGATTTTCTGTCCCTAAGCAGTTTACCTAACCTTGTGACTTGTGCTTGTGACATGGATTACAGTCAGGGTCACACAGGGCTAAACTGGAGAGTGATGCTGGGGTTCTTTTAAAAGCCTTAGCCTTTTTGAATGCAAAATGTGCCCTTATAAAACTTGGACAGAGACTAACACTTTATAGCAGTATCCCTCAATGGTTTACTCAGAAGAGGAAGACTATTTTTAGGGGAATTTAAGGTCGATTTGGATTATCCTCTTAGTTTGTAACCCTGAGTTTCTACCCCATTGTCCTGTCCTGGTGTCTGATGGACCTCGCTGGCTGTGATCTTAGAGCATGAGTGGCCCTGGCGTTCAGATCGAATACACTGCCCTCCCATGCAGATAGAGCAGGGTTCCACATGGCAGTGGGAAGGCAGAGTGTGACACGAGCGGGAGTCACTGGGCCCACTGGGCCACAGTCCCAGCGGCCCACCTGCAGCGTTTTTCCTGCAGGGTCTCCCAACTTTGGTGGGTGAGACACTACTCCCAGACCAGAAGGGTTTGGGGATGCCAAGGTTAAACACACCTAAAATGGTTCCTTTACTGCAGGACTTTTCAGAGCTTTTACTATGCCCATGTGTGTTGTGACCGTACAAGAAATAGAAGTAGCTTGCAGTCATTCTCACTACTTTTTAATCACTTAATGCCTGTTAGTATTTCTCAGAACTAGTGCTTCCCGGAACACAACTAGGAAAC